CTGTACTACCAGGACCTGTACTCGAACCCTATTCAAAGTCATCACTGGCATTTAGAGATCCTTGTGTGTAATTTATATTGCAAGCTAAATTATAAATCTTTCCAGATAAGGAATAAGGTTTCTGTCTGCCACTGGGTGAAGCACAATGTGTGTGCCGGAAACGTTCAGCCATACATGAGTTAGTTTAGCACTTACTCAGGCTTCTGCTCTAAGGAGTGCTGTTTGGGGTCGTTTTACACAGTTCACAGCCCTCAAGAATGCATGCAATTGTAAGACAATTAGAGAGCAGCCCAAGAAAATCTATAATCAACTACTTAAAGGATGAAGGAAGGCCGTTGCAAGTGCAGCACCTGTTTGCCCGCCTGTCTGTTACTCGGTAATCAATGGTCGCAGTCAACCATCTCCCGCGCCTAGTCTAACTCCAAGGGTCCTAGCTCTCCTAGACCTCAGGATGCAGTAGCTGGAGTTGAGTGGGCTCAGATAAACAAGATCTTGAGAAAATCCTTACAACTGGACCAATAATCAACATCATGGTAAATGGAGAAAAGATTGAAGTTGCCAGGGCTTTCATTTTGCTTGGATCCACAATCAATGCCCATGGAAGCAGCAGTCAAAAAATCACACAACATATCGCACTGGGCAAATCTGTTGCAAAAGACCTCTTTAAAGTGTTAAAGAGCAAAAATGTCACTTTGAAGACCAAAGTGCACCTGCCCAAAGCCATAGTATTTTCAATAGCCTCATGTGCAAGTGAGAGCTGGACAATGAATAAGGAAGACTGAACCCCTCCTTGGATTTCCTAGACAGTATCTCTGCAGATTAGATTGCCTAGTCTTCCTTCTGAGGAGCAGCTGGTGAGTTTGAACCGACAGCCTTACCGTTATCTGTCAAATGCCTTAGGCACTACACCACCAGAGCTCCTGAAGAAGCATTGATGCATTTGAATTGGGGTGTTGGCGAAGAATACCAAAAATACCATGGACTGCCAAAGAATGAACAAATCTGCTTTGGAAGATGTACAGCCAGAATGCTCCTTAGAAGCGAGAATGGCCTAACTTAGTCTCACATACTTTGGTCATGTTGTCAGAAAATACTGCTCCCTGGAGGATATCATACTTGGTGAGGTAGAAGGTCAGCGAAAATGGAAAAGACCCTCGAGATGGATTGACACAGTGGCTGTGATGATAGGCTTCAGCATTGCCCTGATTGTGAGGACAGTGCAGGATCAGGCAGTGTTTCGTTCTGCTTTACAGAAGGTCGCTATGAATTGGGGTGTTGGCGAAGAATACTGAAAATACTATGGACTGCAAGGGTAAGGATGGCTATAATAAAAGCAGTACTTTAGGAGGGTCTGGAAATAGTGAGGAGGGGTCTGGGAGAGGAAGACACCATCATGGCACCTAACAACAAAAGAGAAGAGAGGAGTATCTGAGGAATGTTAAATTATCTTCCCTCTGCTCAACTCTAGTCTAAAGTGGGGGACACACCTGCCACTCTTTCCTACCCCTGTGAGCAGCTGGTCCCTGTGAAGTCATCATCAGCAAGATACTACTCTGAGCCACTCCCCAGATCAATCCTGGGACCACTAGGGGCTTGGGAAAAAAGGTTGACACAATGCTGAAATCGTCAGGCGGTCGTTGGGAATCAAATACCATTTTCCTCTCCAGCCGGATCAGGGCCAAGCCACCTGGGTCCCGGATCTAGGCCAGGCTCCAAAGCCGAAACAGAGGCGTCCCACCCTCATCCCCGCTGCATTCAGGATCATGCAGTTTCCAAGCCGCATTTTCCAAAAAGGCCTGTGATTACAGAAAAGCAATAACAAAAGCTAGGCAACCTGGGACCGCGATGATGCGGCAAGGATGCCCGGAAAGCGGATACCCGATGCTTCCTGGGACTTGAAGTCCAAGGTTTGCCTCGCGGTCCGAACAAGTCCTGGAAATCGAACGCTGCAGAAAGCCTGAGCGCAGCCTGCTGGGGGTTGTAGTCTTAATTCTTTACCCGGGCCCGACTGTTACAGGAAAGACCTGCCGGTCCTAGGACTACAAGCCCCATAAGCCCATGCGCAGAGGCAGGAGGGCCAGGCAGGGTCGGAGGCTGAGGTACCGCCTCCTCTGCAACGCCGGGCCCGGAGTCTTAGAAGCGAGGGCCCGCAGGGGTCCCCGCGACCGCCGCGATGCAGAAATACGAAAAGCTGGAGAAGATTGGGGAAGGTAATGGGGCCACAAGATGTTCCTGCAAAATACTCTTTTGCAGACCTCTCTGCATTCCTTCCATCCCTGGCTTCTATACCGTCAGCAATACCCACCTACTCGACCCGATCCTCAGCACTAGCTACAGCCCTAGCCTCCTGACCTCAACACTCTGTGCATTTCCTCCCAACGTTAGCATTTCCTGCAGACGCCCATTCCCAACCAAGACCTGACCTCCCAATCTCAGCACTTCCTGCATTTCGCACCCCTAATCTTAGCACCACTTGCAGAACCTCACCTTAACCCCCAACCTCAGTTGTCTCTGCACATCTCCATCCTCCAACTTAAATACATCTGAAGACCCTCATTCCTCTCTCAGACCCCTCCTTACTATTTCCAGACCCTCCCAAAGTACTATCTTTATTCTAGACATCCTTACCCTTGCTGTGATAGACTCTCCTTCCTGCAGAAACTCTTGAGCCTCAGCAGACACCTTTTCTCCCTTTTTCACTTGAAACATCCTTGCTCACAAACCTCTTCCACACCCAGCCTTCAGCCTGAAACCCAAACCCCTTACTCCTCTGGGCATCAGAAACAATACTCAGATGTTGCCTCTTCTGGCACACCTGATCTCCTAGGTACCTATGGAACAGTATTCAAGGCTAAAAACCGGGAGACTCATGAGATCGTGGCTCTGAAACGGGTGAGGCTGGATGACGATGATGAGGTAGGACTGGAGCACCAGGGCCAGGGAGGAGGATGAAGGCCTAGGCTGGGTGGGATCTGACTTCCTCTCTCTCTCTCTCTCTCTCTCTCATGTAGGGAGTGCCGAGTTCTGCCCTTCGGGAAATCTGCCTACTCAAAGAGCTGAAGCACAAGAACATCGTCAGGTATGTTAACAGGCAAGGTTTTTCTCTTGCGTTTTTGATTGTTGGAGGAGGATGGGTTTTCAGAGGTGGGATATTAGACCTAACCTGGCACATCTGCCTAGCTGAGCCCTTTCTTCTCCCTAGGCTTCATGATGTCCTGCATAGTGACAAGAAGCTGACTTTGGTTTTTGAGTTCTGTGACCAGGTGAAGTGGGGACTTTGGGGACAGTAGCTGGGGCAGGAGGAGGTGGTATAAGGGCACAGACTAAGACTGAAATTCTGCCCCACTCCCTACCTCATCCTATTTTTAGGACCTGAAGAAGTATTTTGACAGCTGCAATGGTGACCTAGATCCTGAAATTGTAAAGGTGAGGGAGGTTGGGTCCTGGGCACTCATTGAGGCTGGAGCTGGAGTCAATATTCAGTTTAAGTGCTCTTTGAGCACCAATTCTAGGCCCTAAGCAGGGGACCCTTTGGGATGTAAGCAATGAGAATCCCCTGTTCCTGCCCTCCCAAGTGTTTGGGTTTAGCCAGCATTTTCAAATGGCTTCATTGGGCCCACACAGTAGCATTGTGATGTCAGTAATATTATTTACACTTAAGAGATGGGAAAAACAAGGTTCAAAGAGATATATTCATTCAGTCAAATATTTATCAAAAGCTTTGCTATGTGCCAGGCACTGTTCTAGGCCCAAGACCAAGTGCTCTTTCCCTTGTTCCAGGGGAACCAAGTGCGGAATCTTAAGAGTATGAAATATCTATTACTTATTAAAATGTGTGTGTTCAAGTGAGGCCAGATAGGGGAGAGGTGTATGCAAGTGGGAAGCCCATTTGACTGTAAGTTAAATAAAGGTGGGGACCTGGGCCAGCTTGTTTCTTTACCATGCTCCTAATACCCAGCATGGTACAAAGTAGATTGTCACTGATGAATGAATGATGTTGTGAGTGGATGAGTGAGTGTGGGTTTTAGATAGGTAAGGAAATGTAGGGTAAAGCAAAAACAAAGTGGAGGGGAGTGGGAAAGGGCATGCGGTCCATTGTTAGGCAAAGATTCCTACCAGGATGTGACTCTCCTCTTCCCCAGTCATTCCTTTTCCAGCTGCTAAAAGGCCTGGGATTCTGTCACAGCCGCAATGTGCTGCACAGGGACCTGAAGCCCCAGAACCTGCTCATTAATAGGGTACTTCTCAAGGGAGAATGTGGGAAGTTGGAGCCAAGGGTGGAGGAGAGCTGGGCTATTCCGAGACTATGCAAAAGCCATTCTCTGTATGGTCTTCTCATCTCCCCTCAGAATGGAGAGTTGAAATTGGCTGATTTTGGATTGGCTCGAGCCTTTGGTATCCCTGTTCGCTGTTACTCAGCTGAGGTGAGCTTTATCAATGGGGGTGGAGGTGAGGGAGAGGATCCTCAGTCAGCACCTCTCAGGTCCTATACCAGGACCCAAAACATGATTTTTTTCTCCTCTCTGAGTTGCCTCCTTCTCAAACTTCCTCCCCAGCCCTTTAAGATGGGGGGTTCCTGTGGGTGGGGTCTTCTCCAGGTGGTCACGCTGTGGTACCGTCCACCGGATGTCCTCTTTGGGGCCAAGCTTTACTCCACGTCCATCGACATGTGGTCAGCCGGCTGCATCTTTGCAGGTGACATGCTGGGGATCTGCGGAGTCACTTTTTCTCCAATTTAGGTTGAGAAATAGGGTCTGGAGGGTCCCTCTCTGGGAAAGGGAGTGGGACACTTCATGATGGGGGAGGAAGGTACAGAGGATGCCAGTGGAATGAGGGCTTCTTTATGTGTCACATGTCCTCACTTCTTGCACCCTTCCCCAGAGCTAGCCAATGCTGGGCGGCCTCTCTTCCCTGGCAATGACGTAGATGACCAACTGAAGAGGATCTTCAGATATCCTGCCAGTGCCTTTCTCACTGAGCCTCTGGAAGTGGACTAATCCCATGAGCTCAGAGTACAGGGGCTGAGGGGCAGGGCGTGGATGCTGGGTGCCAAGCTTCTCCCATCTGTGAAGGTGGGGAGTAGGTGGTGGAGCCATCAGATTGTTCCATGTAGATATACCCAGGCAACAAGAGACTAGGAGACACCCTGCAGAAAGAATCCAAGAGGACACTCTTTCAGATGAGAGCTGAGTTCTGAGAGCAGGGGTCTAAAGGGGCAATGGCTGTTTGTGAGAGTAGGGAAAGGGTAACTGGTTCATTAGGATACAGACTTCATGATTAGGTTAAATTAGTGTTTATAAAGTGCCTGGCCCATTGTAAACACTGTGGAGGTACTGATTATGAGGGGCACACACACATATGGGAGCCTCCTCCTGTCCTGGGCAGGGTGAATGTGAGGAACTCTCTTAGGGAGGGAAGAACTGCTCCCACTGCCCTGGAAGAGGCAGACACAGCCCTTTCCAGCTGAGTGATCCTTGACCATGTGGACACGCTGCTGGGCACTCCCACTGAGGAGCAGTGGCCCACCATGACCAAGCTGCCAGACTATAAGGTGTGAGGGTATGGGGAAGAGGAGTGGCAGCCTCCAATCCCATTCAGGCCCCAGGCCCTTGGGCCTGACTCTCTCTGCCCCTCCACAGCCCTACCCAATGTACCCGGCCACCACGTCACTGGTGAACGTCGTGCCAAAGCTCAACACCACAGGAAGAGACCTGCTGCAGGTGAGGGGTGGGAACCAGGGGTAGGATTGGTCAGAGTACTTATTGGAGGGCTGTGAGTGGGTAGGTTCTGCAATGACCCCTGCCACTCTTCTTTTCTTCAGAACCTCCTCAAGTGTAACCCTGTCCAGCGAATCTCAGCAGAAGAAGCCCTGCAGCATCCCTACTTCTCTGACTTCTGTCCACCCTAGGCTCCAAGACTCCTGGTGCCAGGCTGGGGCCTGGCCTATTTAATCCCCTCCAGGGAGAGGAGAGAGGCAAAGGTTCACAATGTGCTGGGGCTCCAGCTGTGCTGGGCCCAGTAAGGGTGGAGGTGCCCTGCCTGGATTCTTCACTCCCTTCATGGACTTTTATTTAATTTCATAAATTTGCTCCTTTCCCACAGTCTGGCTGATGTGATGGTTGAGTGGCTTTGAAGGGGAGGTGGGCTTAACTGGGGCTTATCTGCAACTCTGTTTCCAGCTCACAAACAACCTAACCATCCATTTCTTGCTCTTCTCTAAGTGTTCTGAGATGGGGCTGGAGACTATGATTGACATCCATTGTGGCTGGAGCAGGGCTGGCTCCACACATGTGCATCTGCACTCATACACATCCTGCTCTCTCCATCAGGGGGCCCTGATCCTTCCTGAGGGTCTCTGTGGCCAGTGTCTGAGAGAGAGTAATGATAGGCTCCCACCAGAACGGAGAAAAAGGCTGGGCTGTTCCTTATGGTCTACATATCCCACCTATACTCTCATGATCCTTCCGTCTACATCCCCACTCATACCAGGCCTGCAGGTTCTCTGGTTAAATCAAGACCACCTCTCCTTTGCTGCATTATTTGCCCCTTTTCCACTGCACTTTTTGCGGTGCAGAGAAAGAAAGCAGAATCTGGGTGTGTCCTTCCTGACAGGAGCAGGGACGGGAGAGCCTTGGATTGCACTTCTGCCCCATGAGCAGCCCCACCTGTGTCAAGCTGGGGCATTTCTACCAGAGTGGAGAGGTTAGGAAAGCAAGAGTGCTGCCTGTGGAGATAGACTGCTGCTGGCTCTTGATCCCAAGTGTGAGAAAGTCATGATCTTTCAAGGAAGGCAGCAGCTTGTGTTCTTGGAAGTGGAACAGCCTCTTTCTTCCTGCCTCTTGCCCATTTCCTGAGCATTTTTTCAGGTGTGGCCTTATCACCCAGTCCATATTCAGTGAGACAGCCTGGGTCACTTAACCCCTATGCCCCTTCCACCTATGCTTTAACTTTGATGATGCCTGTTCTCCATTAGTTTTGAGATGTTAGTCTGACAAATGCAGTCACACTGAAGGGCAAGTGGATGATACCCTCTGTGTATCCTCTCCCAGAGAGATCTGTGGAGATCTCTTAACTTCATCCCAGTCCCACTTCCCAGACACTATGACAGGCTGGGGCTGGCTTTGGTCTGACAAGTTTGCTGGGTCAAAGGAACATCAAGGCAAAGGCATTAGTGCTTTATTTGGGGTAAAGATGACAAGCACATTTGCAAGGTGGACATGTCAGGGCCCTTGAGGAGAGAGATACCAGTCTAAAGCCGTGTAACCAGGTAGCAGGTGCGGTGGGAGGCAGAGATAGTCTTGGTGACAGCACAGGGAGGGGTGGGACACCTAGTGAGAGACCAGTGAAGCAGGAGGCCTTCATGCTGCTGTTCTGCTCCTACCCATTGCCCTTCTGGGCTGGACCTGACCCTCCTCCCTTGACCTTAGGGGCCATTTTGTGTTACCTGGGGCCCAGGCTGCAGTGGGGAACATGGGTTTGAGGGCCACCCAGCCCTTCCTGTAGCTGTAGGAGGAAAAGAGGGTCAGAGGCATGAGAGAATCCTCCCTCTCAGCCACCAGCCAAGTTCACTGCACACCCCTTCCAGTTGGGCAGGATGTCTCAGTTGAAGAGGGATGGGTTCTAGGTTGTCAGGAAAAAGGGCAAGCGAGGGCTAAGCACAGTGTTGGGAGCAGCATGGGGGTGGGGGTGAGTGGGAGCAGAAGGGGTTGCTACCAGATGGGTGCTGGAGTGCGTCTGGGAGCGCCTGTAGTTCCAGAAATATCCCAGGACCCGGTCTCGGAACACCTGGGGGCAAGTAAGGGGAAGTGGCCATTGCATCTCTTCCCTGGGGCCTAATGTGTTCCCTGCCTCACTTCCCCACCTAGGGACCTGACCCACCTCGCAGAGGTAGTCCAGGATCTCAAGAATGGTGAGCAGGCTGGCACCAATGAATAGCCCCATCTGGCCCCCAATGTCACCTGCAGAGAGAAGATGGTGGTCCCCTCACAGCACATGCTGCCCACACCTCCCCAGACCCCAGACTGGCAGCCTGCCTGTACACACACCAAGCAGCTCTGACACTTCATAGGCCTTCTTCTGCTCCACCGTCTCGTAATTGAGGGCCTCGAAGAAGATGTCCAGCACCAATATGTTTTCCCTAGAGGAAAGGAAGGGCAGGAATGCTCACTGACAACTTGGGCCAGTTGCTAGGAGATAGGTGCAGGTTCTTCTGTCTCGGCCTCTTTTCAAGGACCCTGGGACTGAGGCGTTACCACTCCACTTTTCAAAAGACAAAGGTGGACATCTTGCCCAAAGTCCCAAAGCCCGTTCTGAGTGTGAGCCTGGGGTGCGTACTGCACCCGCAGCCCCCGTGCTTACGCGATGTACGCCTCGCTGCGGTTGTACTTTTGGGCCAGGTAGCGGGCGGCGGCGCGGCTCGGTATCCGCACCATGGAGAGTTCCTTGGCGTAGCGCGTGCTGGAGCACGGGTTGGGGCAAGCGCACGCGTCCTTCCGCAGCATGGCGTCTAGCGGCGAAACATGCCAGGTCAGGGCCGCGCGAGGTAGGACATGGAGTCGAGGGAGGGGTGCCCTTACCCAGGGCTGGATTGGCACAGTCCTTGTACTGCTGGGGGCTGCAGACTGGCGCTCCGCCTGGGGAGAAGGGCGGGAAAGGAGACAGTTACAGGAGTTGCCCCAACGCTCCCTAAGCCCCGCTCCCCTCCAGGGGCAAGGTTTCCGCCCCAGCCCCTTACCAGGCATATGCATCATTCGACAGCCGCACTTCCGAGCCACATAGCGGGTCTCGCAGGCCAAACGACAACCCATTAGGCTATAGGGAGGGCTGGAGCCTGGGCTAGGGTTGGGAGAACCCAGAGGACCAGAGGGCTCCAGCTCTAAATCCGGATCCAGAGATACAGAACTGCAATCGCCCCAGGGCGGTGGCAGGAAGCTCAACTGTTGAAGGATCGCATTAAGGAAGAAGTGTGGGCACCTGGGTAGGACTGTGAGAGATTTCCTGTGGGATCGAGGTCCCTGGTGTGGAGCTGAAGGAAGGGTAGCGGGATGAGCAGATGAGGATACTTGCTGCTGCTGGCAGGACACAAAGGTCTGGTAGCCGGGTGCTGCCCCGAAGCCCAGCTGGTCGATGATGGGTGGCTCCTCCTGGCTGTGGATCTGCACTCGGATCCCTACCTCAAATGGAGTGCCCTCTGCGGGAAAGCACCTGTGAAGCCCGAGGCACCAACCAGGCAAGACCTTCTGCAGCCCCTCTCTCTAGGCCTGTGCAGACCACTCCTGCCCCATTGTCAGAGGGAATGAACATGCTTTGGACAACCTCATCTCCACCTACTCTTCATCCTGGAACCCCTTCCCCTCTGTGCCACCCCTAAAACCCTCATGCATGTGCCCCTACCCGTGTCCCTCCACATAGGCAAATACTCATCCTGCTGCACATCCAGCATGACTTCCAGCCCGTTGCCCATCCCGCCCTTGGGAGTGGTGAGAAGCTCAGCCCCGCCAGCTCCAGAATTAAAGGTGTAGCACTGACCCATGCGGGTGAAGATCTGCTGGTGGACACACAGATGGCTAGGTTGCACCAGGCAGTGAGACACCCATACAAATCCACGGACTAGAAGCCTTTCTTGCGTCCATTCTCTCTTCAGTCTCTTCTTTGAACACTGAAGTCCACATTACAGTTCCCCTTGCCTCACCCTCATAAAGGTATGTGTTGGCTCCCATCACTCCAGCCCATCCTCCACACCCAGACTTCCCCCCACACAAACCAGGGCACAACCTGCAAGGCAAGTTGTTCTCTCTGTCCCTGGCAGAAAGAGGAGTCTTTCCCAGGACAGTTCCTCTAGAGATCCCACCCCCAGGAGCAGGGTCTTCACAGGCCAGACCCTGGGCGCAGAGCCAGCCTGGATCAGCATTTGGTACTTGGAGACATAGCCTTTGTACACTGCAGACTGCTGAGTGACAGGGAGGGTCCCAAGGATGACAGCTTCCAGGGGTAAATAGAAAGGCATTGGTGGGGGTGGGGAGAACTTGGCCCGGCCAGAGGGAAGGGATCCCTGGGTAGATTGTGTTTAGGGTCCCTAACTTTTGGGGGCATCTGAACAGGGCAGCTAGCTCACCGCAGTGAAGTTCTCTGGCCCACAGGGCTGGCCACGATAGTGGCAGTCCAGCAGCATGTCATCCAGGGAGTGCCCAGCCCGAGTGTAGAGTTGTGCCATGTCAAAGCTGGGGCTAGGCATGAAGCCAGGTGGGGCAGGGGGCCGGCCCAAGGCTCTCAGGAAGTCAGCATGCTCAGTGGGGTCCAGGCCCAGCAGTGCTGGCCCGGCCCAGTGCAAGTCGTTGGGTGTGAGGCTTGAGCGGCGCAGCGGGTTGATATTGCATAAGGTGACTACCGGGAAGGTGAGCTGGTGACTCTCCTTCTCATCTAGGGCCGTCTCATGGTGGAACTCCCCATAGTAGCGCACCCTCTCAGCCACCTGGTAGAGGAAGGCGGCCAGCGACAGGAGCACAGCTGCAGCCCACAGTCCCCTGCGTAGGGTCAGGCCCCCTGGGCCAAAGATATGGCCCAGGCCATGCATGGAGCAGCTGCTGGCGAATATTCGGATATCTGAGGCTGGCTGCGGAGCCACCTCTGGCGCTGAGGTAGGCTTCATGGCTGTGGCCTAGGTACTGAGACTCAGAAGGCTGGAAAGATTGAGGTGGGGTCAGTCTCAGGGTCAGGAGGGCTGAGGCAGGACTTGGGTGAGTGACCCCTTGAGGCAGGGGTCACTGCAGGTTAGGCAAGGGGAGGAGAGGGTTGGAAGAGAGCAGCCAAGACTAAGAGGTGGGAGGCACTGGCCTGGTGGAGTGGACGAAGTGACCTGGCTGATCCAGCTGGGCTTCTGCAGCAGTGGGCTGTGGCTTGGTAGTAGGGATCGTAGGGATCCGGGCTCTGCAGTACAGCCAGCTGTGGCAAGCAGAAGCTGCTCTGCCAAGGCGGTGCTGCTGGAGCTGCTGCAGAGGATTGGGTTTCAGCAGTGAGGGGGGTCAGGGGGCCGGCAGAGCAGTCTGGAGGGGGAGGTCCCTGGGGCCCCAGGCTGAACCATTAGTGTAGTGTGAGGGAGCCGGGCTGTCGGAGACCAGAGGCACCAGGAGGAAACCACAGCAAGGGGAGGGCTTGAGTTCAGCCCAGAGGTAAATTGGGGCAAGATACCTTCAGACTGTCTAGTTTCCCAGTGGCAGCTGCTTTGTGAAGTCTGAGGACTAGTATCTGACCTGGGCCCAGCCCTTCTCTTCTCCCCTCTTTCCCCTCTTCCCACTCACCTCACCCATGAAGGGTGGGGCTGGCTCTTGACCAAGCTGCGGAGTGGTGGGAAGTTGGCACCAGCTTTGAGTTTCCTCTTCTGTGCCCCTCAGGTCCCAGAATGCCCTGGGCAGTCAGAACCTATTCCAGCTTCTGTGTCATGGCCTGTCTCTTGAGTGACCTTCTCTTCTTGAGGAGTCAGACCTCACTTTCCCTGCTTATTCCCTCCTGTCAGAGAGGCCTTCTTGACTACAATGACTGAGGGCTAACATGTCCCTCCCAGGTTATGTGGGTGCCCACTAACTGAAGTTGCCTTTGTCCAAAGAGTAAAACATGGAATAGTGTGTATAGTGTGTTACTTCTTGGGCCTAGAAAGGGGAGAAAAAATAACCATACTCAGACTTGCTTGTATTGCATAAGGAAATACCAGAAGGAAACATAGGAAATCAGTTATTCTGTGGGAATTATGGGGACCAGGGAAGACAGGACAGGGGTGGGAGTGAGACTTCTATGTTTGCATTTATATATATATATATATATATATAGTTTTGAGTTTTATACCATGTGAACATATTACATATTCAAAATAAAGAAAAAACAAACAAACTAAAAACTTCAAAAGACAGAGAAGAGAAGCTCCCAGACCCTAGGGACGTCTGATTTTATTCTGACTCAGGTATGCTGAGCCCTGTGGATAAGCCAAGAATTCAGTCCCAAGCCTCTGTGAGGCCACCTCCTGGCTGGTTTGGCCATTTAGCCTGTGCTGTGGTGCCCTGGCTAGTTCCCTCTGGGTTTAGGGAGGCCCCCTGCTGAATCCCCTACTCTTGTGATTCTAGCATTTCAGGACATCTTCAAGTGCCTGGTTAGACAGTGGATGTAGCTCTTCACTCACCACCCCAGGTTTGTCTCCAACTTCTACCACCATCCAGATTCCATTCTAACTTGGAGCATCCACAAACATAGACATCACAGCCCTTACAGTTTGTGCCTGCCCCTTCCAATTGCACTTTTCATTTCTGCCTTGTCCCAACCCTCTTCACCTTCCTTGCAGAAGGAAGCAACCCATGGTGAGAAACTGTGACAGTTAAAGTTGTATGTCAATTTGGCTGTGCGATGATTCTAAGTGGTTTAGAAGTTAAATGTAGTTATCTCCCATAATAAGATCTGATAAAATGTACTCACCTCCACAGTGAGATTTGCTATGAGCAGTCACTTGGTTGAAAGGGAGTTTCCTTTGGGGTATAGCCTGCTTCCAGTATATATGGGAAAATTTTGGGAAAGGTCTATGGCTTTTTGTTCATTCTGGATCCTGTATCTGGCTCATCATCTCTGGTTCCTGGACTTAACACCAGTGGCTTACTGTGTTGCCTGCTGATCTTGGGATTGTTGCCTTCAAAGCTTGTGAGCCATCAATCTGCCATTTTACCTGCTGATCTTGGATTTGTCAGCCCCTGCAGTTGCATGAGTGAGGAGAAGCCTCCAACTTCTTGGACTTGGGACTTGCCAGCCTCTACAACATCATGAGCTATTTCCTTGAGATAAATTTCTATATATGTACACATATATATAAGCTTCATTGGTTTTACTTCTCTAGAGAACCTAGCCTAAGACAGAAATCCATAGCCCAGTAGTCACTGTCAACAGTAGAGCTCTTCCTAAGCCCAAAATGTAGCACACCTTGCCACACTATTTGCTGTCTTACTCTTTTCACATCATGATATATTCTGAGACCTTGTGATATTAGTACCTGAAGAACTTTTTTTTTCTTTTCTTAAATCGCTGCATAGCACTTGTGATAGTTAATTTTAATTGTCAACTTGGCTAGGCTGATTCCCAGTGGTTTGGCCAAACACTAGATTACTGCACAATGCAGTCTGATGTGATGTAATAATTTTTCATAATTTAATCTAGTGTAATCAATCAGTTGAAAGAGGAGTTTCCTTAGAGTATTGTCTACCCCCAGACTATAAATAAATACTTTGGAGAACTCTTTCTCTCACTTGACTGCATTCCTCACATCACCTGACCTATGGAACTTGGGACGTAAGACAGAAGGAGTCTCCAACCTGCTGCCTAACCTATGGATTTTGGACTTGCCAGCCCACAGATTGAGCCAATCTCTGAAGTAAATAAAGAGCTTTCTCTATATATATCTCACTGGTTCTGTGTAGTAGTTAAAGTTGTATGTCAACTTGGTTAGGCCTGGTTGAATGGCTGGGCAGCTGCATGTTGTTGTTGTTGTTAAGTGCGTTGAGTCGTTTCCGACTCATAGCGACCCCATGCACAGCAGAACGAAACACTGCCCGATCCCACGCCAGCCCCACAATCCCTGCTATACTTGATCCCATCATTGCAGCCACCGTATCAATCCATCTCGTTGAAGGCCACCCCCTCTTTTGTCGACCCTCCACCCTAC